TCCAGAAGAGTTTTTCCTGGGTTTCCTTCTAGAAATTTTATGATTTCAGGTATTACATTTAAGTCTTTATCTGTCTTGATTTAATTTTTTTATATGGTGAGAGATAGGGATTCAGTTTAATTCTTCTGCATAAGGCTATCCTATTTTCCCAGCACCAATTATTGAATAGTATATCCTTTCCCCAGTGTATGTTTTTGTCCTGCTTTGTCGAAGATTGGTTGGTTGTAGGTATATGACTTTATATCTGGGTTCTCTACTATGTTCCATTGATTTATGTGTCTATTTTTATGCCAATACCATGCTCTTTTGGTAACTACAGGCTTGTAGTATAATTTGAAGTCAGGTAATGTGATACGGCCAGTTTTGCTTAAGATTGCTTTGGCTATTCAGGCTCTTTTTTCATTCCATATGAATTTTAGAATTGTTTTTTCTAATTCTGTTAAAAGTGATATTGGGATTTTGATAGGAATTGCACTGAATATGTAGATGGCTTTGGGCACTATGGTCATTTTAACAATATTGATTCTTCTGACCCATGAGCATGGGATGTCTTTCCATTTGTTTGTGTCTTCTACATTTTCTTTCATCAGTGATTTGTAGTTCTTCTTGTAGAGATCTTTCACTTTCTTGGTGAAATTTATTCCTAGGCATTTTAATTTTCTGCAGCTATTCTAAATGGGATCGAGTTCTTGATTTAGTTCTCAGTGTGGTTGTTGTTGGTGTAGAAATGCTATTGATTTTTGAATGTTGATTTTATAACCTAAGACTTTGCCTAATTCACTTACAAAATTTAGGAGTCTTTTGGAGGAGTCCTTAGAGTTTTCTAGGTTTAAAATCATCTCATCAGCAAACAGAGATAATTTGATTTTTTCTTTTCCAATTTGGATGCCCTTTTTTTTCTTTCTCTTTCCTGATTGCTCTGACTAGAACTTCCAGTACTACCGTGTTTTCCTGAAAATAAGACCTACTCATAAAATAAGCCCTGGCAGGATTTCTAAGCATTCGCACAATATAAGCCCTACCCTGAAAATAAGACCTAGTGATAGGTATGGCTATGCAGCACATCTGTACAACCCATGCATTTCCTCGTGGAGAGGTAAAGAAGACGAGCAGCCCTTCTCGTCTGCCCCATCGTGACAGCTACTATCAGAGAGGTGACTGGAAAGGTGTGGGCAGCCCCACCAACAAGGTCTGCTACCCCTGTCAGGTCCCGGCCATCCTGTGCATGCTGCAAACTGAGGCTTTGAGGGGAAAGCCTCCTCGGTGAAGTGAGGAGTGAGACACTCCACTTTAGGTATTATGTGTCCCTAGGGGGAAGAAGGAAGGCTGTGGCTGCCATTTTATTTAGCACTGTGAGCCTCTCTCACCCCCCACAAACACCAGGGGACAGGGGAAAAGCTTCAGCAAGCAGTCTCCTACTGAGCCCAGAGAGATCATTTGTACCGCACTTAAAAAAGAAAACAACACATCCCCTGAAAATAAGCCTTAGGGTGTCTTCTTGAGGAAAAATAAATATAAGACCCTGTCTTATTTTCAGGGAAACATGGTATGTTGAACATGAATGGTGAAAGTGGGCATTCTTCTCTTGTTCCAGTCATGGGGTATGCTTTCAACTCTTCCCCATTCAGTATGAAGTTGGCTATGGGTTTGTCATATAAGGATTTTATTATTTTGAGGTAGGTTTCTTCTATGCTGAATTTTTAGGGGGTTTTTACTATGAATGGATATTGGATTTTATTGAAAGCTTTTCCATATCTATTAAGGTGATCTTCTTTTTGTTGTTAAACTTCTATTTGTGTGTGGTGCATCTCATTTATTGACTTGTGGATGTTGAATCATCCTTGTATCCCTTGAAGAAAACCCATTTGAGTGAATTATCATTTTCATGTGCTGTTGGATTTGGTTTGCTAATTCTTTGTTGAGAATTTTTATATCTATGTTCATCAGAGATATTGGTTTGTAGTTTTCTTTTTTGGTTGCATCCTTCCCTGGCTTTGGTATCAGGGTGATATTGGCTTCATAAAATGAGATTGGGAGGATTCCCTCCTTGATTTTTCAGGACAGTTTCAGTATGATCAGCACCAGTTCTTTGTATATCTGGTAGAATTAAACTATGACTCCATCTGATCCTGAGCTTTTTTTATTGGGAGATTTTTTATTACTGATTCCATTTTGTCACTCATTATTGATACTCAGGAGTTCCATTTGTTTCTGGTTCAGTCTCAGGAGGTTGTATGTTTTCAGGAATTCATCTATTTCTTCTAGATTTTCTAGTTTGTGAATATATGGTTGTTCATAATAGTCTCTGATGATCTTTTGTATTTCTGGGGTATTAATTGTAATGTTTCCTTTTTCATTTCTGATTGTGTTTATCTGGAACTTCTCTCTTTTTTTCTTGGTTAGTGAAACTAGTGATTTATCAATTTTGTTTATCTTTATGAAGAACCAACTTTTTGTTTTATTGATCCTTTGTGGTTTTTTGTTTGTTTGTTTGTTTGGTCTCCATTTCATTTAGTTTTGCTCTGATCTTTGTTACTTCTTTTCTTCTGCTAATGCTGGATTTGGTTTGTTCTTGTTTTTCTAGTTCCTTGAGGTGCAATGTTAGGTTGTTAATCTGTGATCTTTCTACTTTTTTGATTTGGTATTTAATGCTGTAAACTTCCCTTTAAGCACTACTTTTGCTGTATCCCACAGGTTTTTAGTATGTTATACTTTCATTTCATTCAATACATTTTTAATTATCATCTTTATTTCTTCATTGATATAGGGATTGTTTAGAAACATGTTGTTTAATTTTCATGTGTTTGTATAGTTTCTGAAGTTCCTCTTCATATTGATTTCTAGCGTTATTCCACTGTGGTATGAGAAGATATTTAATATGATTTTGATTTTTAAAAATTTGTTAAGACTTGTTTTGTGGCTAAAATGTGGTCAGTCTTGGAGAATGTTGCATATATTGATGAAAAAAATGTATGTTCTGTAGTTGTTGAGTGGAATGTTCTGTAAATGTCTGTTAGGTCCATTTGTTCTAAAGTCCAATTTAAGTCCAAGTTTGTTGATTTTCTGTCTTGATGATCTTTCTATTAATGTGAGTGGGGAGTTGTAGTACCCAACTATTATTGTGTTGCTGTCTATCTCTTTCTTTAGGTCCAGTAATATTTGTTTGGTGAATCTTGGTGCATATATATTTAGACTCATTATCTCCTCTTGCTGAATTGATCCCTTTATCATTATATCATGACTTTCTCTTTCTTTTTCTACTTTTTTTAATCTAAAGTCTGTTTTAGCTTATATAAGTATAGCTACTCCTGCTTGATTTTTGTTTTTATCTGCATGGAATTTTTTTCACCCCTTTACTTTCAATCTATGTGTCTCTATGGGTAAGGTGGGTTTCTTGTAAGGATTATGTATTTGGATCATTTTAAAAATCCATTCCACCAATCTATACCTTTTAAGTTGACCATTTAATTCATTTATGTTCAAGGTTATTATTGATATATGAGATTTTGTTTTTGTCATATTTTCAGTTGATTTCTAGTTGTTTTATAATTCTTTGTTTCTTTCTTTTTCTATCTTTTTGTCTTTGTGGTTTGCTGAACTTCTCTGTCTTTTGCCATTGCTCTCTTTCTCCTGTGTATGAATGTTTTATAAGAACTATAAGTTTTATATTAATATTTTTGTGTGTTTTTGTGATGGTTAATATTGTCCTTTCATTTCCATGTTTAAGATTCATTTCAACATTTCCTGTAGGGTTAGTCTAGTGGTGACAAAATCTATTGGTGTTTGCTTCTCTGGGAAAGACTTTCTTTCTCCTTTATTTATGAAGCTTCTTCTGGCAGGATATACAATTCTTGCCTGGCAGATTTTACTTTCAACACTTTGAAAATGCCATCCTGTTTTACGGTCATACCACCCTGAATGCGCCTGATCTCATCTGAAAATACCATCCAATTCTCTTCTGGCTTATAAGGTTTCTGCTGAGAGGTCTGTTGTTAGTTTGATGGGGTTTTATTTATTGGTGACTAGATGTATTTCTCTTGCTAATTTTAAAATTCTCTCTTTGACTACAACTTTAATCATTCTGATTGTAACATGCCCTGGTGAAGCTCTTTTTGAAATTTATTTGCCTGGGTATCGTTGGGCCTCCTATATCTGACTGTCTAACTTACTTGCTAGTCTTAGGAAGTTTTCATTGATTATTTCCTTAAATAGATTTTCTAAACTTTTTGATTTCTCTTCTCCCTTGGGAATACCAATAATTTGTAAGTTTGGTTGCTTTATGTAGTCCCAGACATCTCTAAGGCTTTGCTCATTCTTCCCTCCTACCCTTATATTTGTCTGACAGAATGACAAAATAAATTGAAAATTCAGATCACATAGATATAGAAATAAATTGAGAGTCACTGTCCCTTTATCATTCTAGGTTCATTAGCAAAGTTCAACTGAGTTGGAAAGGAGTGGGCACCTGTCAGTAAGGTCAATCAATATTAACTATATCTTTCACTGTGCAAAAACTCATGAAAGCTGTGTAGACTTGATCAAGGAAATCACAAGATTACCAAATCAAGGAGACAGGGAGCAGTCTATCATCACAACAACTCTACCTCTTACTAGTTGTCTGTTTTCAGTTACATCAATTTAATCAGCAAAAGCAAGCTAACATTTCTACTTTGGCAAGGATGTTGTGAATATTAAATGAGATGATATTTATAACATGCTGGGCACAATTGTAGCTTGATAAGTGGAAGCTATCATTATTTGGCTTTTGGGAATGTAAAATATAATACTACTGAAATTGTCAATGAGAACATAGCATGGTGATCTGGGGGGGGTCCCGTTGGAGCTATTCACAGACTCCTGCTTCTGTAGATCTGACAAATCCATCACTTGTAATAGTTTTGAGACTTTTGGATTAGTTGATTAATAAGTCAGATTTTTCATATATCTTCTAATCACTGGACCACATGTAGTGTTTACACCAATAAAAGCAAATTCCTTACCTGCCTTTGTCAAGTAAACCTTTCCACTTTGGGAAACAAAAGTAATATCCGAAGTATAAAAACTATGAAAAGTCCTCTTTATGATATCATCATGAAAGTCAGCTAATAATTCAAAGGTGTTGCCACCATCAATTGAAAGCCATATCTAAAAGAATAAAGAAATAATACCAACTCACTAAAGAAATACCATGTAATAGTCAGCAATTACCTATCAGCCTAATCTTCCTACATAAGGAAAATCATGTGGCATGGTCTTTTCCCATATGCCCACATCACACACACACACAGGTGTACAGACACCTTACTTATCTGGTCTACCTAGACTCTGTATGACAGTGTTTATGGCAGAATATAAGGTCTACACAGTATGCACAGTGAATTTATAGAAAAACAAAGTTATTCCTGTCATCTCCAAAATGGAATTCTCTTGTTTTATGAACATCTTTGTTTTATGAGGATGGAATGCTGGGTGCATTTGGATGTGAGGGAGGGGTTTATCCCATATTAATATAAAACTTCATGTTCTAGACATATGTACACTTCCCCCAGGTACCTTCTGATCTTGCCGAGCAGATCACCCTGCCTCCCTCTCCCCCACTCTGGGTGTCTCTAGTCACTTCTCTGATGATTCACAATGAGATGGTCCACCTGTGGGTGAACTTCTACCAACAACCTTTGATCCTCTCCTTGAGAGAAGCAAGTGCAGGCTGCTTCTAGTCCACCATTTCACTATTTTGGCCTCCCTACCCTCCCACCTCCCTGAACTTAGAGGTTTTGAACATTTAGTGTGAAACTTAAATATGGAAGGGAGTTTCAAGAACACACAGAAACAGGGTTATCACCTTCACAAATCTCTAAATTGTGTATAGAATATGGATGTTTGAGAAACACCACTGAGAAACTGAATTATTAATAGTTGCTTTCTTTGGAAGTCACTGTAGTGTTTTCTTAGCTCTGATGTTTACATATTTTGTGGTCCTTCCTTTTAAACTGGCTGATGCTCCATAGATGGTGTACTGTTCCTTTACCAAATTTTCAGGCTACTGATACAAAACGGACTGAAGGAGAGGCCAGAGGGTAGAAAATACTACTGGAAAGAGTTTGAAGAATAAAAGAGCCAGAAAGTCAAGCTCAGACAAGGTCAAATAAAAAAGGCAAACATTAAATGCTGGAAAAACTAGATATAATACACTTTAAATGGGTTGATAGCAAAATCCAAGTCACTCAGAGCTGGAAAAAAAATGTGACATAATTGGCAAAATTCAAGATAACTCTAGTGTACCCATAGGTCATTTTTATCAGCCAGTGAACTAACCAAAAGGTAAAAACTGACAATATGCACTGAGCTTAGCACACAATAAATAATACATACACATTCATTGTCTTCCCTCCCACTCCCACCTCTGAGATCATCAGAGCAGCTCTGTTCTCAAGGTACAACCACTCAGCATGAAGTGAGTGGATGATTTACCTCTAACCCAGAGTGTGAAATTTCATGTGTACGCACCTGATTGCCATAAGCATACAGAAAGTGGCTTCGGGGATGAAATACTATTCCAACAGGATTAGAGAATGATGAAGGAAAATCGAACTGTGGAAATTTTTGTAGGAAATCTGGTTTGTGATCTTTTAGGGTGTTCACAGAGACAGCGACAGTTCTCTGGATCTAGATAAACAAAGCAAGAGCAAGCATAAGGCTTTTGTCATTATTATCAGCCCATGTTACAAGTTTTAGGCTTTCTTGTCACTTGGATTTTTATTTAGAGAAGGTCACATCCATTAACAGAGCACAGAACTAGAAGGATTAGCAACCATTGCTATCTTGTCACTGCACTACTCTCACCCTTGCCACACACCCATCTTACAGATGTTGAAAATGAAGTTAAAGAGATTAAATAATGTGTCCAAAGTTCTATAATGAATAGCAAAGAGACTTTTATTACAGAGTCATTATGGAACTCTGCAGACAGACTCCAATGCCCGCGCTCATAACCATCGTGCCAAAAGTGTGGATGCTTGAGCCACACGACAATTCTATTGAATCCTGATCTTGAAGGGGATCAGAATATGATACCCCCAAATATATGACTTTGGTAAAAGATAATTTTAAGCTGAAGACTTTTGAGACCCAACAGATGCAGGAGAAAAAAAAATTCTAGGAGCTCCTCTCATCTGACTATGAACTAAAATAAAACCCTAATCCCCCTACTGACCAAATGGATCCCCTCTTGGCCAAGTAGACCCCAGAGAAACCTTAGAAACCCAGCCATGATTGTTCAAGAGGTCAAACATGCCTCATTATACTCCCTCCCTTGCTAATGGCTATTAGGTTTATTTCCTAAGGGCTAAACAGAAACCAATCTCATGATCCAAACCAGCATTCTTTCCTGATAAGAGACCACCAACCACGGAGTGGGTTTAGCCAGTCTACAGAGGATGTGCAGAGAGGGTTTTCATGTCCTTGCTTCACCTTTTGACATCAGAGGGCTGCCTTTTCTGAACATGGGACCCCATAAAGGAGCATAAAGCATGATTGTGCATGTGCATGTTTCTCCTTTTATAAATATTCATGACTGCTCCTATAGCTTATTAACTATGTATATTTGGCCACCCCACTCAGCATAAATTCCTGTTCCCTTTGTCTGTCCCACAAAGCACGTGTTCCTGGCTTCTGGCTGGGATTCTGCTTTCCTGCCTGTCAGAGTGGCCACCCACAGGCTGTAGCCCTTTATGAGAAATAAAGCCCTCCTTTCCAAATGCATGAACTTTGTCATTTTCTTCAGTTAACATGACTGAAGGCAGCAACTTCTGGGAAATGAGGCTGCCAGAAACTCCACTTTGGGGCAGATCTACTTCCAGAAGAGAGAATGCAAATAAGACCTATCCCAAATCTGTTTACCAGGTGAGGTTTCTTGACCGTGAAGGGGAAAAGACCACTCATACTTGTATAGACAAACAGTATCAAAAACATTATCTCCTGTTTGTTCTTCTGAAAACCAATTTATCTTTTTTAAAAAAAGTCATTTGTTTTTCTTTAACTGCCTTTCTCCTCCCTTCCCCTTTTTGCCTAGTAAGATGGTATATAACCCCCAAATTTTAACCACCCCTTTTAGTTACTCAGAACTGAGTTCTTCCAATGTATATGCACACTGCACACATAAATAAACTATTTTCTCTTCTCCTATTGGCCTGTTGTTTTTCAGCTTAATTTTCAGGCTTTGGTGATTTGAACACAAGAGGGTAGAGAAAAAAATTTTTCCCTGAGGGTAGAAGGTGATCTTATGCATTTTTAAAATGGTTCTAAGAATAATTCTAATTCACAGCTACGGTTAAGGACCTTTGGTATAGAAAATATAGATCTGTGGCAAATAGTTCCATTTTTTGTTTATTTTAACTAATGATTTTATGGAACTTTAAATGTATATAGAGAAAAACTCAGTTTATATTCTCCTGGAGAATTAGCAAGGGAGAGTCACTATGCAAATAGCATCACATTTTCCATTTTTATCAAACTGAATGACGATCAGAGGTGAGAAATCTCTCAAGAGTCAAACTACATTACTAATCTTAGATAATTTTGTTTAGTCAATTTTATCAGGTTCTATTGCCAAAGATAACAAGAACTTGGAAAAAGTTTTGCTGAGGTAAATTTTAATTATTGTATTGTAAATATTTTAATTATTTAATTATTGCTCTGTGTCCAGAGCAATCTCTTCTGGGATACACGGCCTACCTGATTATAGAGGAGGTAAACTCCAGTATGGTGCTCTTGGTCAATAATAAATGTCATCACACTTGGAAGAACATTTTTCTTTCCTTTTGTAATGTAAGGTATGCAAGGTAACCATTCAACAAATGGTTCTTTACTATAAAAACAAGAGCTTGACTACAAAAAGAGAAAAGAAAGTTAAAAGAGAAAGATAAAGAAAAAGCTGTTTTTGAAATATAAGTCCTAATTTGTTCTCATAGGAAAAGAAACTAATGAACCATTGTGTTGTTATGACTGACCACAAATCTTTTTAAAAGTCTTTAATGTCCATGTCTCTCTTCTACAGGATATGTGTCCAGAAAACACTTCAAAGCATCTCTTTTTGATATGGATTGTTTTTTTAGAATTACTGTAGGTATTGATTAACATAATTAGGTAACTATCATTAAACTCAAGTAGAGAAACCCCTGGGAGCACAGAGTGATTGTTAAGCTTTTCAATCTATAGAATTGTCATTTTTTAGATTAATAACAATTCATGAAATCATGCACAACTAAATTTCTTACCTTATAAAATATACAATATCATACCTCACTTAGGGTCCTGTTTCTGTCATAGGTGACAGTAACATAATCAACTGAAAAATATAAAGGTATAGAAATTATGAGGAGCATCTATATTTCTAAAACAAGAAAGGTTAGTGTTAATAAAATAGCCTTCATAAAAAATAAGAGCAGAGGGGAGGGGAAAAAATAAGAGCAGTTATGTTTTATCAATTAATGTATACTCAAATATAATTTTCTTATACTTATAGCAGGTGTACCTATTGTCTCAGATTTAAATTAGATTTTTTTTCTCAGTTTTAGCACATTGAATTATACATTAACAAACATGCCTTTACATTTTATTCTATTTTTATTTTATGTCATTTTGTTAAATCTACATATGTTTTCTATATTGATAAAAGCCTTTTAATACAGTATTATCTTTGACTAAAATTTACCTTCAAAGTGTTCTCTGTTAGCAAAACATCTTTCATTATACCATAATTTTCCTTTGACATAGTCAACCTATATAAATAAATAAAAATATCATTTAGGCAATATGTAGACTTAAGATATAAAATAGAAAAAACTTACTAATAAATTTCACAGTTTGATAGTTCAGGATGTGAGGCAAAGAGAGAAAAATTGTATGCAAATAAGATAAAAGGTTGTAGAATGAGAACTAAACATTTTGAACAATAAACAAAAAAGGAATAAAAAGAACAGAGATTCCACAGGAATCAGCATATTTTAATGGAAGATGCTCTTGTTTAAGAATTGTCTTTCTAAAGCTACCAGAAGCCGTTAGCCTTTTGTCAGTTACAATGGGTCACATGTTTATCTTTTATTCTTCTTTAGCTGCAACTAGGTTTAACAAGCCTTCATAGAAGCCAGATAGTTGCAAGAAGCAACAGGAAAAAGGTTTTGAAAATTGGTTATAAGAGAGAAGCTTCAAAGAAAATGAGATTGTATATGCTGGATATTAACTAAATGCAATAGTTTGAAATGGTTTTGTTATAGGAAGTTTCTGACTTTCAAATTATTGAGACATAAGGAAGACCTTTTTATATTTTTATAGACCAGTAATAAAATCTGTATAATCTGTGCAAAGAAGCCTTTTACATGTTTCAAAATTGTGGTGATGGTTACACAACTCTGTGAATATACTAAAGGCCACTGAATTGGACATTTTAAATGGGTGAATTTATGTTGTGTGAATTATATCTTGATAAAACTTCTAAAGAAATAAATGCACTTGAATGGTGGTATCTTCAAGCTAAGATGTTATATCAAACAAACATTTCACTTCTCATATAAATGTTCAGATTTGCAGGATACTATAATTATCATTATAATATCTGGGCAATTAATATCTTTATTGGGCCCTGAACTACTCCTCTTTTTTTTTTGTTTTAATTTTTATTAATTTTAATTTTAATTTTTTATTATTTTTTTATTTTAGCATATTATGGGGGTACAAGTGTTAAGGTTACTTATATTGCCCATGTCCCCCTCCCTCCTTGAGTTACTCCTATTCTTTCTCTTTCAATTCCTTCTTGTTTTTTCCCTACTTGGAATTAAACTGGTAACAGCTAACTGGTACATTATCCTGGGAAAAATGTAATTCAAATCAGGCTTACCTCATTCCAAGGATAAGCTCAGGACCCAGGCCTGACTCAACAGTCAAAATCTGACTTTGTAATGGAGAGGGGAGATAAATGAACAAAATCCCCAAAAGGCCAGAAGCAGAGCTGTGGCTAGATAATATGGCATTTTTGTGCAAATTAGAAAAAGCACCCCTCTTTCTCCAGGTAGGCACAGACCTACAACAGGGCAGATGGATTGGAAAGCAAAGCATCAGCCAGATTCCAGCCTCCACTCTCTTCAATGAGGTGCCCTTGTACAGAATACGACCTGAACGACCACAGCAAGCCTGGACAGAGAGTATGAGAAGGGGTATGGGGTAGCCTCTGAAACGAGGAGGAACATTTCTTACTTTGAAACAGAAGAGGAGATCATTGTTTAATGGTTGCTAGAAATAAGTTTTTAGGTCAAACTGTAAAGAATATTATAGCAACAGGAATAATCTATATTGTCAATTATCGCTTTGCATCTCATTTCTTAAGTCACCAAATAAACATGTATCTTCTAACCAACTCTGGGAAATTTTAAGTTGCTTACCCTTTCAAAACCACAAAAGTCTGCCCTTGAAAGCTAGAAGAAAAAATGAAACTTTAATTTTTGCTTGTATATCAGAAGGCATAACAAAATATAGCAATTTCAATTATACCAAATGAAATTCTGTTTTTCTATCCCAGCAGTTAGGATGGTCAAACACTAAAATGCTTTGCCTCTGACATAGTTTACACATCATCTTGGATATTCCCCCTTCAGTCTTTGCCTTGTTTCACCATTTTATCTATTTATACCTTAGTGTAATTACAGAAATGATTTGAGATGAAAACCATACCTTTTAAGGATTTAAATGGAGGAATTAAGAAATGTGCAGAAGATACTAAGTCGGCCACCTACTTGGTTTAGGAAACCCTACTGGAGTTTAGGAAAACATGCCCTTAACCTATTATTTTTTCCTTTGCCACTCTGTTTCTTCTGCCCAGCCCACTGCAGCTCAGAGATCAGCACTTGTGATGTACGGTCCATGTCTACTTCTCTGCACTTTGAATTTAAGCCATTGCAGCCTTACTGGCTTCTTCAACTCTCTGTCTTAGCAATTACATGATAAACATATAAAAGGCCAAATCTACAGGTTGTCTGAGCAACAAATGGCACTTTTTCAGAGATGGTGAGGAAGGAGGGAAAATTGTGAATATTCATATACCTGAGGAAAGATAATAATTACCATGAAGAAGAAATATAGATGTTGTATTTCTTAACCAATACAAGTACCCTTTCCTTACTTCCCCTTATCTTTTCTTCTACTGCTCCTAAGTCTTCATTACTCATCTCATCTCTGTTGTGGTAATTTTTGAGAGATATTTATTAACATGTTTAAGAATTTCATGGTATACATATTACATATCCTCACTGAGACATATATTTACATCTCTCAATCCCCATGCTTGTGCTTAATTTATGTTACTTTGTAATACTATATTTAGATTTACAAATTACCTTATTTTGGACTCACATATAGCTATAAATATATTGATCAATCAATCAATAGTTAGAAAAATCTTTTCTACATGTGTATTTAAAACTTACTATAAATTTATACAACAATAAAACTAGCATCATTTCCAAATTATATATTCAATACTGTAAGGCAAAGGAATAATTTTCTGTATTATGCTTTTTTGTATTTTTTAAAAGGAAAGAGCATTTTAATTCTAAGATATATCACACATAACTCAAATATCAAATATTTCTTTTTCTGTCATGGAAGCTATTTAAGGTTAACTATTAGTTACAAAGCAATTTACATACCAATAAGATTTGGGGTGATGGATAACGAAGATCTTCACTTATAAAAAGACCCAAAGTTGTGAGGATAACTAAAAAATGATTTGTTAAAACTATATCCACCGCTGAAAGGTATGCATATTCTAAAAGAAGAAATGATATCATTGGTTAAAAAGTAAGAAAAAAGTGAGCTCCTACCAAAGGAAAGACATTTTATAAATATCAATCAAGTATTGATATTGATATAAGTAAAATGCTGAAGATGAAGGCACTGTTGGAGGAATTACCTTCTTGAAGCTGGGAAAAGATATTATTTGTCAAGTTATACCATGTAGTTTCATGATAATTCCAAAATCCAGAAGAGGTTACACCTATGTAAACACCTACCATGAGAGAAAAAGAAAATTAAGGCTAGACAACTTTACAAAGCTAGTCACTCAATTCTATAGGGCTAGGCCTTCCCAGGCAAGAGCCTGAATATGTTCTATCTTCCAAACCATTCTCTTCTCCTACCCCCCCGCCCCCCGCCAGTTTGATTCTCATTTCCCCAAGCTTTGGAAAGATGAAGTAACTTCAGGTTATACCATAGAATTTTAACCAACCACCTGACCGACTCCTAGAATTATTACCTCTTGAAAGAATATGCCCTTAAAATAAATCCTCTTAATGTATTGGTTTATCCTATTAAAATATTTTCCAAGCTGTACTGGTATTTTGTTTTATATTGAAGGAAATAAGAATATGCCATCTCAAAATATGCCACTTTTGAGGATGGCAGGCTCTGCCCTCCCTTTATCTACCTAAAAGCAGGGCATAAATTTCCCCTTGTACCAGGAAAAGAAGAACACTTTTATCATTGGAGACGGGGTGGGGGTGGGGGGGGAGACAACAAGACAAGTTTGCATAAACACACCTTACTGCAATAACCCTTACCTTCCACTAGTTCCCTATATTTTCTAGTCACAACTTCCTTACAACTTATTGTCCCTTGAGGCCCAAACTCCTTTTCTTTGTTAAAATGGTATGTATTAATAAGTTCCTGAATTTAACCACTTGAGTTTCATTTCTTTTATGTGAACTATCATGCACATACATATTAACAAAACTGTGTGCCTTTTCAGAAGTTTTGTCAACAGGTATGACTACTGGCAGAGGGGATCTGGGGGGGCTAAAGACACTTAACAATCTAATGCACATACTTTGTTTCCAAAAGAAGAAAGTAGGGCAAGTGATACTGTGAAGTGTGTGTTGCAACTTCCAGCTCTTGTCTGTGTGGGGAAAGATGTAGAAGGAAGTTTTATTATTGTCTACTTTTTCCAGGAAGAATAAAACTAAAGATGAGCTTTGCCTTTCTAAACATTAAGTCTAGTTTTACAGATAACAGTGGGAAATTCTAAGTGGGAATGATTATAGGTGTCCAGCATGATATCATATGACTGATTCTTGCAAAGTTTAGGGGGTATTTAATGGAGAAATAAGAAATAAAATAAACACTCTATATTGGTTAATATTTTTAGACTAAAATTAAGTTATAGGCCACTCTCTATGACAAACTGTCCACAATTGTAGGTTACAGAAGCTGATGTAGTCCATTGTGAAGAGTTTGGCATTTATTCTAATGGCAAAGGGAAGCCACTGGAGTGTTTGAAACAGGGAAGTGATACAATCTGGTTTACACTAGAGAAGATCATTCTGGTGGCTGCATGGAGGGTGGGTTGTATTGGGGCAAGAATAGAAAAAGGGAGACCACTTAAGAGGCTACGAATTAGTCTAATAGAAAAACAATGTTGACTTGACATAAGATTTTAGCAGAGAAGAGAGGTGATCATACTGGGGATGGACCCTGGAGATAGCACCACTCTGGAATATTGTGAGAGTGAGAATAGTCAAGAATGTGTCCTAGATTTCAGTTTCGACTAATTTAATACTAATTGGGATGAGAAATACTAGAAAGGAACAGATTTTATTTATTTTTTATTTTTTTTTTGAGACAGAGTCTTACTTTGTTGCCCAGTCTAGAGTGAATACCGTGGCATCAGCCTAGCTCACAGCAACCTCAAACTCCTGGGCTCAAGCAATCCTACTGCCTCAGCCTCCCCAGTAGCTGGGACTACAGGCATGCGCCACCATGCATGTATTTATTTGTAGTAGAGACGGGGTCTTACTCTTGTTCAGGTTGGTGTCGAACTCCTGACCTTGAGTAATCCGCCTGCCTCAGCCTCCCAGAGTGCTAGGATTATAGGCATGAGCCACCACGCCCAGCCCAGGAACAGATTTTAGAGGGAGATAAATCAAGAGTTTTGGATTAGACTTGTATATTTGAGATGCTCATTAGATATCAAGACGAAATGCAAAACAGACAACTGAACATAGAAGTGGTTTGGTCTTAAAGGCAATATAGATTTGGGAATCAATAGCCTAAAGGTAATGTTACTACCATAAGCCTAGATTAAGTCTTCTAGAGAGTGAATGTGGTTTCTTAAGGAAGAAAAGTCAAGAATAAAGTCCTAGGTTCATCAACATTTAGGGGTCACACCAAAAATGAGCCCTCCTAGAAAACTAAGGAGTTAGGCCAGATGTGCCTTGTGCTGGTAATCGCAGCATTGAGGGAGGCCAAGGCAGGAGGATCGCTTAAGGCCAGGAGTTTGAGACCAAACCTGAGCAACACAGTGAAACTCCATCTCTACAAAATATTAAAAATTAGCTGGGTGTGGTGGTGTGCACCTGTAGTCCCAGCTATTTGTGAGGCTGAGGCAGGAGGATTGCTTGAGCCCAGGAGTTTGAGGCTGCAGTAAACTGTGATCACACTAATACACTGCAGCCTGAATGACAGAGCAAAAACCTATCTCAAAAGAAAGACAGAAAGAGAAAGAAAACTAAGGAGTGACCAATGAGCAAAGAAGATAAAAGGACTCAAAGGTAGTGTGGTGTCAAGAAAGTCAAGAGAGTGTTTTGAGGAGAGAGTGCTCAACTGTGTTAAATGCTGCTGGGAGGGAAAGTAGAATGAGCATAAAGGACTGGCTGCTGGAACTGGCAATATGGAGATGGTGGGTGGTCTTGAGAGGAACTGTTTTAGTACAGTGGTAGAAACACAAGTCTCATTTGTAGTGGAATGAAGATAAAATGAGAGGTGAAAACAGCACCATCTACAATGAATTCTTTCCATAAATTTTGCTTTGAAAGAGAACAGAGAAATGCGGGGTGGGAGTAAAGTGAGGTAAATAAAGATATTATTTAAGATCAGGGTATTAGGGTATGTTTGTATGCTAATGGATACAACCCAGTAAGGAGAAAGAGCATGATAACATTGGAGAGAAAGGTGATAATTGCAGGAGAGATGCAGGAACAAGGTTCTTCGTGGCTGTAAGGAATGGGATCTAGAAGGTTAGAGCTAACAGGTGGCCTTTGAATGCAGCAGAGACATTTTCTTACAGTACACAGGCAAAAAGGCAAAGCATGCAAATGCAGGTAGGATGACAGATTTTCAGGTACATCAATGCAGTTCCTGGTAATCTTCATTTTCACTGTGAAGTATTAAATACAGGCACAAATGAGAGTGAGAGGGGAATGAATGTGATGTAGATTGTTTGAGGAGTGGGAAGAGGTGAGGTAAGTTTATTTTGCAGAGTGGGAAAATAAGTATACCAGGGAAGAGTGGAGTGATAAGATTTCTAGGGTGGTGCTGTGTGCCCACTTGAGATTTGTGATCATAAATTTAGAATGAGACCAGTCAGTGGAATTTTAAAGTGATAACAATGTGCAATTTTTTTCCTAGAAATATTCTGCTCTTCCAGTGCAGGAGCAGAGGTGGTTTTAACTAGAAGGGGGGTTATGCAGGCAAGGAGGAAAGAGAAGGGCAGGGAACTCACAGAAGTATTGAAAAGTATGAACTATGAAAATTAAGGTGTGAAAGAGGAAAATAAGGATATTGGGTGAAAAAAGTAATAGGGACAATATATCAAAGTCTCAATGAGATCAAAGAAATGTTGGAGTGTGAGTACTAGAGTAGATTGAAGGAATAGGGGGCAGTGGACAGAGTGTGAGATACTTGTAGTGAAGATTTTGAAGATGATATTATTAGAGATGACAGGGTCAAAAATATGACCATAGGAGTAAGATGGGGAAAAGATCATAGGAGGAAAGGGGGCCTTGAAACTGGGTACTGCATGGGTCATCATGTGGATGGTAAAGTCACCAAAAATAGGGACAAAAATCAGGGTGCAAAGGAAGTCAGGGACTCAGAGACTAAACTCATTAATGAGTGTGAGTGATAAGGAGGTTATCATATGTTGGCAACCAAGTTGACTTAGAGGGAGGCGAATTCTGAGTTCAAAAGAGCTGAAAGTTTCAAATGAGAAAACAGGAGTAATTATTCAGTAGTAGCCCTAAGGACCATTTTCCCCCATGGGCTCTGAGATATATGACATGTAAGAGTTATTAAGGGGAAAGAATGTTGTCTGTGGATAACTAGGCTACTCTCTATGGCAAGAAAGTTAAGGGACCATTCAGAGAAAAAAAATATTGGTATGGGAGAGTTTGTTGATGATAGACCACAACCTGGGGCTTGTGACTGGCATCTGAACTGGGGGACAGTCTTGTGAGACTGAGTCTTTAATTTGTGTGTGTGGAGGGAGGACTGTGGTAACTCCAGGTAGCTACTGCCATAGTGGAATTAAATCACAGGACACCACTTGGTGTCCACAGAGAACTAGAGAATTGCTTGGTGTGGAATCCACACATTTGGTGTCAGAAGTGTCATGAATGAGAATATAGAGAAAAACAAATGCTATTAGATATTACAGGAGTAATGGAAAATTCATACATAATAAATAAAATAATATGATACCTTGGGAAAACAATATCTATTTACACATGGCAGGAATAGCAGATGGATTAGAAACAATGAATGATCTCTGGGAGAAGTAACATTAATGGAGGGAAGAGGATAAATAAAATTAGGAGAGACACTAAAGTCACCATTAACATAGCAAAAGTCACAGCAAAAAATATACTTAGTATATCACACTTGCAAGTAGACAAGGTGGGGTGATGAAGAGTAAATTATTAAGTGATTTTTTTTTTAAGTCAACAGAATGTCATAGCATATTAAGTGATTTTAAGAAGCATTTTTACTCCACTATGTCTATGCATTTAGTTTGTGCTACTAGTTAAACATCATTATTATAAAAGCCACTTCTAACATTTAATAAAGCTGTAAACTTACCATCAAATGTGGTACCCAAAATGAAGGCTAGTAGTGCTACATCATTGGCACAGGGGCATTTTGTCACTTTGATATCTACCACATGTGGATATAAATTAAGGACATCACTTTCTGAAATCAGAATCCCAGGAGTCCACTGAAGAATAGGTTCTGTGGAAATCGAATTTAGGTGTTTAAGTTGTGGCGGCACTCTTGAAAATGGAATGTTGCTACTTTCCTTAAAAGGTTTTTAAAGAACCATGTAAGGAAACTATTCTATAATTCAAGAAAGGGTCCCCTTCTCTGGAGGAGGCCAGGAATCAACCCACACGCATAGTATACAACCGCTACAGCCTACAAATACTAGCAAGTGAGAAAAAATGAGAAAAAAAAAAACCACACTAAGGCTCTCTATAACCAAAGTGCTCATTCAGAACCTAGCCCCCGCCCAAGTACCCATAAGCAAAGCCAAAGGTCCATACCCAATATATGCTACAGTCACACCCTTAAGCAGGAAGGGGAAAAGTTCCATCTAAACAAAAGGAAATTCAAAAACAAGAAGCAACAGCCTCTCCAGATGAGAAGGAATCAGTGTAACAACTCTGGAAGTAAAAAAACAGAGTGTAATGACCCCTTCAAAAGGATCACACCAGCTTTCTAACAATCAATGGATCCAAACCAAAATGAAAACACTGAAATGACAGATAAAAAATTCAAATTATGGATTGTAAAGAAGGTCAATAAGATCCAAGAGAAAATCAACTTAAAAAAACTCAAGAAAAATAATTCAGGAAATGAATGAAAAATGTGTTAAATACATAGATTTTTATAAAACCAAACAGAACTTCTGGAAATGAAAAATTCATTTAGGTAAATACAAAATAAAGTGGAAAGTTTTAAGAATAGACTAGACCAAGCAGAAGAAAGAATTTCAGAGCTTGAAGACAAGTCTTTCCAGCCAGTCAAATATAAGGAAAAAAAGAATCAGATGAACAAAGGCTCTAAGAAGATACTCAGAAGGGGGGACAGGGTGGGAAGGTGGTGAGGGATGAAAAATTATCTGTTGGGTATAATGTACACTATTCGGGTACCAGGTACATTAAAAGCCCCGACTTCACTACACAACTCATCCATGTAATAGAAAAAAAAACCCCGAAAACATTTGTACCCCTTAAATCTATTGAAATAATAAACAAATAATATATTGAAACAGCTAACATAAACCCAAATTATAGAAATTCTATATAATAAATGGTCTATGTTGTTCAACAATTTCACTATCAAGAAAGCAAAACAAAGGCTGAAGAGCTTTTGAAGATTTAAGAAGTCTAAAGAGATATGAAAATTAAATGCATTTTGATTCTGGATTGGGTTCTGGACAAGAAAATTATAGCTATAGAAGTCATTGTTGAGACTATTCCCTAACTTTAAATATGAACTACAATGTTAGGTTATAGTATTATTTCAATGCTAAATGCCTTAATCTTGGTTAGAATACTATAGTTATATAATAAAATATCTTTTTCCTTGGGGAAAAAAACCCAGAATATACCAACATGTATTTTCCTTTTCCCCTATTTATAGACATTTAAGTTGTTTTCAGTTCTTTTTTTTTTTTTTATTACAAACAATGCTGCATTAAAGAGGTTTGTACGCGTCTGTTAGGCACACATACAGTCATATTCCTTTACGGAAGTTCTCAATCCTCACTGTATATCAGAATCACCTGGAAAGATTTTCTAAAACTACAGATGCCTGGCCCTACTTATAGAGATCAGATTTTAATTGGTGTATAGTAGAGTTGAGACATCCTTACAGTTTTTAAAGCTCTCCAGGTGATTCTTTCCATAAAATGTAATATTTATTTATTTTTGCTATGCATTTTATCTAGCATTATATCCAAATGTGACTAAAACAATAAAAATAAAAAGGAAGGTGAAGAAAGTAAGGATAAACACAAGACCCAGAACCGAGGATTAAAATAAATTTTATACTACAGTTCTGTAGGTGAGTAAAAAATTGGGCTATACATTTCCTATCGGACAACTGAAAAAGAGAAGCCTATAAGTTATATTATTCTGCATTTATAAACTTAAAACAACTAATTTTTAATAATAAGAAAAGCCCAAGTGTTATTACTAAGACTAGGCAAGAATTTTTACTGGTGGTCCTCATAAAGAAGACTGTGGTGCAATGAACAATATCTAACTAAGATGCATCTAAGATACAAAAACTAACTTTATAAAGCCATTGCTAATGACCCCCAATGTGACCACAGTAAAAGATATATTGCCATATTTCTATAGCACTCTTTACCGACCTCTATTAATGATTACCCACATGTATTTAATTCTTTTTCTGCCCCATCAAGGGTCATGATTATCTCTTATTTATTTATTTTTTATCTCTAGGGTTTAGTACAGAGTCTGGCATATAGTAGATGTCAAAGGTTTTTGAAAGAATATATGAATTTCATTTTACTTTTGTCTGCTGGCACTTACCTCGAATACTATCCAATAGGGTTCCTTCAGTAGCATAAATATTTAATCCATGATGTAAAGTGATCCTTACTGACCATTCTTCTACAGCTGCAATATCTGTATGAAAACAAAAGACAAATAATCAACTATTTTTTCATATGTCATGTTGGTGAAATTTAAGGATATATGAACATTACCAACAATGATAATCTTTTCTTTTCCAACCATTTTGACTGCATTGTATGTCAGGTTTCTGGTGTTATTCCTATAAACATTTTGCTGATAAAATAATGAAAAAGGAATTATGAAGTGATCTCATGACTATAGCAATGAATGCTAATATTTTAGATCATAATTTTTCTCCTAGAACTGTTGTGGAATGACAAAAAGCAAATTTCTGACACTTCTTGGGAAGTGGGATAATATTATTGAAAAGTCAACCATATTAATTAAAATATATTGTGTAAACCCTAGGGTGAACACTAAAAAACGTTTAAGGTATAAATAATAAACCAATAGTGGAGATAAAATGGAATCATAAAAATAATTAATACGAATGAAGACAAAAAAGAGAAAAAAAGTAAAACAAAAGAGATGGAACAAATAGAAAACAACCTGTAAGGGGGTAGATTTCATTACAACTATCCATATGAACAATTACATTAAATGTAAATGGTCTGAAAATATCAACCAAAAAGACAGATATCTAGATTAGATTTAAAAATCAGGACTGAACTATATGCTATTTTTAAGAAACCCACTTTAAATATAAGAACATAGATGAGTGAAAAGGGAAAGAATGGCTTGGGGAAGCCATCAGCAGCTTTAGCCTGGGAACTGCTCAAGGCTGCACCTACAGGCCAAAGCTGAGGCTGAAACTGAAACTGGAGTGCGCTCATGAAGAACATGGTTTGACTGCACAGTTCCTCATGTCCACCCAAGCATGTAGGCAGATCTGTGCACCATCCTGGTGAGGCCATGGCTATACTGGTGGCTGGTGAACCAGCTGGTACCCAAGTAGACCAGGTGCTATTTGTGCCTCTTGCTGTCACTGCTCTCCATCAAGCAGTTCCTGGAATTCGGGAGAGATGTGGTGTGAGAGAACATCATATATGATTCTACAAAAGGAGATTTCTGTGCTACTGGCTAACACAGTGAGGGAAGTCAGTTTTCTGCCAGATAATTTGCTTAACTGGCCTTCGGTGGGACTGGCTCAAAGTTGGTATAGGCAGAACTTTCTTGAACTGAATATGAAAATAAAAGCCCCGAGGATCCACTAACTTTCCGTAAGTTTTGTTTTAATCATAAATAAAAGCAATGATGTGGTTTGCATAGTGGTACATGGAATGATTAAATATAAGGAAAACTATGTGTTTGATCCTTTCATTAGTGATAACATCCAATATTTTCTGCATTGGTTTTATACCAGCTGTATTTCTTCCCACATGCTTATTAATCAGTGCACACTTTTGTTTGGTAGTGACACTATCCCTGCTCATCCTAAACATATAGGAAGCATTGATCTCATGTGTAATGTGGTTGATGTCATGAAAGATGTATATGAAATAGCCAAGAGGCTGTGTGAACAGTATTTAACTGGTAGCTTCAGAGCTGGAAACTGAAGAGTTCAAGGCCAAAGCTCCAGACAAACTTACTCAGGTAATTTGTGTGCCTAGACATCTGTTTCACATGCTATTCAAGAATTCAGTGAGAACAACAGTAGCACTACATGGAAACAGATAGGAGAGATATTTGGCTGTTAAAACCCATGTTATTTTGGGTAAAAAAACATTTATCCACTAAGATAAGTAACCAAGATGATGGTATCTCACTTTGAAAAGGTATCTTTTGAAAATCACATGTATTTGATTCCTCATAGACATAGCCTTGAGCCTATAAGATCTGCCCCTTAGCTGGATTTGGTTAAAATTTGCCATTTTTCATCTGTATGCTAGATATTTTCAAGGAGATCTAAAACTATTTTGATAGAATGAATGGGTACTGATGCTATCATTTATTTAAAGGCACTTTTAGGTTCTAGAAAATGAGTTTACTTTAAATAAAGGATAATATTAATGTTATGTATATCAGAACAATCTATAATAGGATTGTCAGATAAATTATAAGAAGCTTAATTAAATTTGAATTACAAATAAATTTTAGTAAGCATGTTACCAATATGACATGGAACATTTACATAGGATAACAAATAATTTTAATACTATAAGTGTTTTTTATTTGTTAAATTTTTAATTAAGACCTATGAGTAAAAGCATTAATTCAGATCACTCTTACCTGTGTTTTGTGTGATGTTTTCTCTAGGAATATCAATCAACCAGTAAACCCGGTCACTAAACTTGAATAAAGAAGACATCAAAAAACAATGTTTCACAATGTTAATAGCAGCACTTATATTGTCATATTCTACTCTATCTTTTAAAAAAAATAAATAAAAAGCATATACCTTTTACATAGCAACTTTACTGTTAGGAATTTTTCCTGCAGTATACTCACATATGTATGAAATAAAATGTATTCATGGATATTTTTGCAGCATTGTTTATAATAGCAGAAGATTAGAAATAACAAAAATGTTCAGGAGTTATCTATAATAATATAGCCACATAATGAAATACCATACAATCAAGATCAGGTAGCACAAAGTTGAAGTATTACTAGTCTAATGTGTCAGAGACAGAGCTTGGGTTGGCAGAGGATTTGGGATGTTAAGAAGAAAATCCCAGGAGCACAGAAATTGCAAGAATGATGAGTTCTAAGATTTAAATATAAACTCTGCCCAAATACTTGGGCAATACAAGTGCAGAGGACATCCCTTGAAGACCACTTTTTAAAAATCAGCAGTGGAAACTAAAAGAATAGAGATATCAGCTGCCAAAATCACAGGTGAGACAATTTGCTGTTTTTGCCAAGGAAAGTTAATTTTTCAGAAGAACATAACAGAACACAGAGTTGCTACAACTTATTATCTTCAATGTCAGTTTTCAACCAAAAATAAGACATGAAAAGAAACAGGAAAGTATAATATATTCAGAAAAAAAAGGTAGACAATAAACTGACTCAGGGTGAGTCCAGATATCAGACAAAGACTTCAAAGGAGTATTGCAAATATATGCATAGATTTAAGGAAAATATTGTCATAACATGGGAATGGATAGAGAATCTCAATACAGAAATGAAAAATATAATAATAAAATCAAGTGGCAATAATGAGGCTGAAAAGTATAATAACTGAAGTGAAATATTTACTAAGCAAATTCAATGGCACGTTAGAGATGGCAAAAGAATAAGTGAATTTAGAGATACAGCAATTGAAATTATCTGATATGAAAAATAAGGAAATGATTTTAAAAAATGAACAGTCTTAGAGACCTCTAGGACAATGTCACGTGTTCCAAAATGTGCATAACTGGAGTCCCAGCAGGAAAAAAAAAATGGAGAAAAAGGAAGAAAAAAGTTTTGGAGAAATAATGGCAGAAACTTTCCAAATCTGGTAAACTTATACTTCAAGAAGGCTAGATAACCTTAACTAGGTAAATACAAAGAGAAAATCTTAAAAGCATCCAGAGAAAAATGACACATTACACACAGGAAACAATAATAAAATTAACAGCTGACTTCTCATTCAGAAACAAAATTCAGGAGACCACTGAAAACCTATTAGAACTTAAAAAATAAAACATCACTGAAAGAAATTAAAGATATAAATAAATGGAAATAAATGTTCAAACATTGGGACACATAACATTATTAAGATGGCACACAAGAACAGAGACATAGACTAGCAGAACAGAACTGAGAACCCATATATAAAACCATCCTCATATAGCCATCTGATCTTTGACAAAGCAGACAAAAACATACACGGGGGGAAAAATCCTTATTCAATAAATGGTGCTGGGAAAATTGGATAGCCACATGTAGAAGACTGAAACAGGATCCACACCTCTCACCTCACACAAAAATCAACTCATTATGGATTACAGACTTAAACCTGAGGGATGAAACTAAGATTTCTAGAAGAAAATGTTGGAAAAACTCTTATAGACATCAGCCTAGGGAAAAAATTGATAAAGAAGACCCCAAAGGCAATCACAGCAACAACAAAAATAAATAAACTTGACCTGATCAAATTAAAAAGCTTTTGCAAAGCCAAGGAAACGATTACAAGAGGAAACAGACAACCTACAGAATGGGAGAAAATCTTAACATGCTACAAACCCAATAAAGGGCTGATAACTAGAATCTGTATAGAACTCAGGAAAATCAGCAAGAAAAAAATCAAACAACCCCATTAAAAAGTGGGCAAAGGACATGAACAGAAACTTTGCCAAAGAAGATAGACTAATGGCCAACAAACATATGAAAAAATGCTGAGCATCTCTAATCATCAAGGGAATGCAAATCGGAACCACAATGAGGTATCACTTAACTCCAGTGAGAATGGCTTTTATCAAAAAGTCCCAAAATGGCAAATGTTGGCATAGATGCAGAGAGATAGGAATCATACATTGCTGGTGGGACTGCAAAGTAGTGCAACCTCTGTGGAAAGCAATACAGAGACACCTTAAAGCGATACAAGTGGACCTACCATTTGATCCAGCAATCCCATTACTGGGCATCTTCCCAAAAGAACAAAAGACATTCTATAAAAAAGACATCTGCACTCGAATGTTTATAGCAGCACAATTCACAATTGCAAAGATGTGGAAACAACCCAAGTGCCCATGAATACATGAGTGGATTAAGAAAATATGGAATATATTATATATACCATGGAGTTCTATTCAGCCACAGAAAACAATGGTGATGTAGCACCTCTTGTATTATCCTGGATAGAGCTGAAACCCAGTCTCCTAAGTGAAGTATTACAAGAATGGAAACACAAGCACTACCTGTACACACCATCAAATTGGTTTTAACTGATCAACACTTAAGTGCACATATAGTAATAACATTCATTGGGTGTTGGGCAGATGGGACTGGGGAGGAGGGGCTGGGTATATACACACATACTGAGTGTGGTGTGCACCATCTAGGGGGTGCACACACTAAAAGCTCTGACTCAGTTGGGGCAAGGGCAATATACATAACCTAAACATTTGTACCCCCATAATATGTTGAAACAAAAAAGAAAAAACATAACAGTACAAAGCAACAAATAAAGTCAACATGATACTAGCAGAAGAATAGACATGTGGATCAATGCAATAGAATTGAGAATCCAGAAATAAACTCTCACATTTATGGTCAATTTATTTTGAACAAAAGTACCATAATGATTCAATAGAAAAACAGCCTTTTCTATAAATGGTGCTAGGACAGCTGAATATCCACATTCAAGAGAAGGAATATGGACTTCCTCCTCACATCCTATACAACAATAAACTCAAAATGGATCAAAGACTTAAATGTAAAGGCTAAAATTATAAACCTCCTAGAAGAAAACATAGGGTAAATTTTCATGACCTTGGATCAGGCAATGGTTTTCCATGTTATGACACCAAAAGCACAAGCAACAGAATTAAAAATAGATACAATGGACTTCCATCAAAAAAATTTCATGCATCAAAGGACACTATCAAGAAAATGAAAAGACAACCCACAGAATGGGAGAGAATATTTGCAAATCATGTCTGATAAGAAAAGAACTTCTACAACTCAATAATAAAAATACAACCCAATTAAAAATGGGCAAAGAATCTGAATAGGTATTTCCCCAAAGATATTCAAGTGGGCAGTAAGTACATGAAAAGGTACTCAACATCATTAGTCATTAGGAAAATGCAAATCAAAACCATAATGAGATAGCACTTTATACCTGCTAATATCCATACTAGGATATGGCTACTTAAAAAAACACAGATGAAAAAAGTGTTGGTGAGGATATGGAGAAATTGGAACCTTAATAAGCTGCTGGTGGGAATGTAAAATAGGACAACCACTTTAGAGAACAGTCTGGTAGTTCCTCAAAAAGTTAAAGATGGAGTTGCCAAATGACTTTGCAGTTCCATTCCTAGCTATGCATCTAAGAGAAATGAAAACATATTTTCACACAAAAACCTTTATGTAAACGTTCACAGCAACATTACTCATAATAGCCAAAAAGTGGAACAACCCAAATGTTCAACTGATAAATGGATAAACAAAATGTGTTATCTATGTAATGGGATATTATTACTCAGCCATAAAAAGGAATGCAGTACTGATATACACCACAGCAGAGATGGACCTTGAACACATTATGCTAACTGAAAGAAGCCAGTCACAAACACTACATATTATATTTCATTTACATAAAATGTTCATAATAAGCAAATCTATAGAGATAGAAGATCAGTGGTCTCCTAGGGCTGGGGAGTAGAGGGGACAATGGGGAATGATTGTTAATAGTTATGAGCTGTCTTTTCAGGGTGATTAAAATGTTCTGGAATTAGATAATAGAGATGGTTGCACAACTCTATGAATATACTAAAATCATTTAATTTTATAATTTAATTAGGTGAATTGTATGGTATATGAATTATATCTTAATAAAGCTGTTCAAAGACATAAAGACTCTTTCAAGGGGGACAAAAGCCCAGAGAATTCATTGTCAGCAGATACGCATTGTATGAAATGCTAACAGAAGTTCTTCAGGATGAAGGAAAGTGACACCAGATGGCAACTTGTAGCTACAGAACAGAACAGAATGAAGAACAGTATAAATAGTAAATGTGTAGGTAAATGGGACAAAAACTATTTTTTCTTCTTTTAATTTCTTTAAAAATATATGACTGTATAAGGCAAAAAGTATAACATTGTATTATTGGGTTTAAAACATACATAGATGTAATATTAGTGAATTGCCTATTTTTTAAGAAAACATCCTATGAGGAAGAAGAATATGATTCTTGTTACTGACATATCACAGAATAAAATAAAATATAATTACCAATGACAAATTAAAGTGGAAGATGCCATTATAGGTACTATTCATGATTCCCAAGCTGGGAGCAAGTCCTCCTGATGTGAACACACTCAGCATTCCTTTTGAAGAAATCTCATTTTCAGTTTGGAAAAAACACTGGACTTTCTTTAGGAAAGAGAGAAAAAATGCAATAACACTTTGACAGAGAGACACATATTACATTAATTTAAAAGTTGGACTTTTAAATTAAGATACTCCTCTGTGAAAAGTAGATGCTACTAAACATTGCTACCTTTAGTAATTCCCATCTGTAGGTAGGAAAAAAAAAATCTAATTTTAAAAGTATACTTTCAGAACTCAGTAACCTATTATGCTAGTGTCATAAAGGTTTCATCCTTATAATAATATTATCTATCCTAGATATGGTAATAGATATTATAATACATGTAGTAAACATAGAATCAAAGCCACATGCTATCACATGTAGAAATTTGAATTTTATTAAAATATCATTTTGCGTGTAAATAAAAAAGGAAGCAAACATATAAAGCAAAGATCATCTTACTGCATTTTTATTGACTATTTCCTAATTTTGAGAAGGTATTTGAAAATGTAGCAATCACAAATGGTGGATTTTACTGAAAACTAACATGAAACAGATACTAAAAGCTTTATTTTGATTAGTTCTCTTAGTAGTAACGATTATTTTGGACAAGTTCTGTATCTGAGTTTCAGTTTCCCTATCTAAAATACAGGGAAACATATTCATTCCAAAAATATCTACTGGGCCTTATAATGAATTGCCTGTGTTATAAGTGATTCAGATACAGAAGTGACTAAAACAGACAAAAATCTCTGCTCTTGTGAAATTTACATTTGAATATGGATTGGCAGGGAGACAAACAGGATGGATGGATTGGTGGATGGTTAGTAGATGAATGAAAGAAGATAGAAAAGTAAAATAAATGTAGAATAAATTATAAGTATAAAGCAGGAAAGGCAGTTTGAGAGTATAGGAGTTTAGAAGGAAAGTACAATTTTAACAGTGTTATCAAGGTAAAGGACAATAGTACTTACCTCAAGGAAGATTAAATATGAATTTTAAATCTCATAATGAACATAAAACACTTTGAAAAATGCTTGATATACATAAATACTTTATAAATGTTAGTTATTAATATTATTACTAATAATACTACTACTAGAACTATCAGATCACAACTATCCAAAACAGGTTATAATTGTCTTTTAAGAGGAAAAAACTGAAGTTCTGAGAGGTTAGGTAACCTGCCCCAAGGGACACAGACCATATATGGCAGGACCAAGATTTGACACCAGCTCTGTAAGTCTGTCTTTATCCAGAGCCCATTCTTTTTCCATAATATATAACCACAAATAACCAAGGCATTTTTGGCTCAAAGGGCTTGCACTTCATGATAGTTGCAAGTACAAAACTTAAATATATATTTGGCATATCAAGAAAGAATTGGGATCTAAGTCAAAGCAGACTGAGGGATAAATGTATTTATTCTCATGGGGAGTTTTTCTTTGTTTTTATTATATTTATCATACACTTTTAGGCAATCTGTATGTTTTTTATTAACTTATGTTTTTGTTATCATGGCTATGTTAATAGTTTGCTTTATTTTATTTTGTTGTGTTTTTTTTTAAATCCCCATTATTTTAACCAAAGAATCATATCATCCCTTATCCAAAAAGACAACTGCAATGTGGTACTTGTTATACAAGGAAAAGATTCTTTCTCAAGGTCATGTGAGGTAACTTTCTTTTCTCTAATAGGCTACATCTGTCAAACTTCAAAAGGACAAATCAACTCCATAAAAAATGAAGATTGTTATAGCCAATCTTTTTAAAAAGGAAGGAGGAGGCATTTTTTAAAAAAAGGAAAGAAAACAAAAGCACCCATTTTACCTAATCCAAGTGGATGTGGAATAGCAAGGTAGAAAAGATTATTATTTATATAGAATTTCCCCTCCCAAATTGGTTTTACAGATGGACTTCAAAGGAAAGTGAAGGGTCATAATACATGCTATTAGTGGAACTTACCAAGTTTTCTGAGGTAAGATACAACTTGATTATTTCATTCACTTTGGGGAACCCTTTGCTAGAACAAGCAAAGCGTTTATCCGTAACATCTAAATAATAAAATATATACATATATTTTTAGGTCACTGATAAGAAGAATTTCCATTAAAAGCATCATATTTTTAAAACTGACAAAATATTTTTAAAGAATAGGAATTATAATTGTATACTTTAAATCCACTTTACTCTAGATAAAATTCAAATCTTCCACCATTGTTTTTTGTTGTTGTTGTTGTTGTTTTAAGATGTGACATCAGGACACTAAAAAGAAAGTCTTGGCTGAAGTACTGAGATAACACAGGCTAGATGAGGATGCAAAATTTTTAGAGTTAGACAAATACCAGCTCTTGACACTTCAACTCTTCACCCTTGATGAGGCTATATAAGGGTGGGAAATTGGAGAGTGCAGAGAAAATGTGTTTTGAGAGAGAGCTACTAATATGAAGATGTTGGGAGGGGTATCACTTCTCCTTACCTTGAGTCTGAGGAAAGAGGCTATCAAGGGCACACTCAAAAATGTAACATGTACCCTGCAGTTTGGGGCAGAAACTCAGAGTCCTGCTTAGAAAATCTAAAAAACAAGAGATGATTTGGTCAAGAGAAAAGGAGATGGTTTGACAAAAAAGAGATGGCTATGTTGGGAGTCCTGCACAACCAAAATTTGCTAGGGCAAAAGATGTATGAATGTTTCCTGTGGCCAGATGTAGGCCACTTGTGAGAAAGAACTAGTCTGGGGTCATCTAGGATCCTGTCCTCACAGGTGTCTCTGAGTGGCAACTGGATCTCAACAGAAAGAATTTAAAGGCAAAGCTGGAGTTTTAGGAGCTGATAAAGGAATAAATTACCAGTGAGAATGGAGAAGTTTGCCTTTGTTAGAAGAACTGTAGATAAGAGATTCCTGATAACATAATGAAGGGGAGGAGGCTGTGAAGAACTCATTCAAGTGACCAGAGATTGAGGTCAGCTTTACACCAGCTGCTGGAATCAGAAAGTGCAGGTGTCAGATGGTCACATCAGAGCCAGTTAGGTAGGAACTATGCTACTCCCCCTACTTCTCCCTCCCTGGCTACAGCCCTGGAGCAGTAAAGGTCAAACCTAAGGTTAGTAAGACAATGAAAAGGAACCTAAATACTAGGTGGAGAAAAGGAAAAGCTGATCTTAACATTTCTTCTTTAACTACAGGTTTCCCACCAACAGAAGCCCAAATAGGATGAAGGGAGGACACTTCAAATATAAAACAAGAATTAAGTTTTAACTGTTACATGAGCTTGGACATTTTACAACAATTACAATGCAAAACTGCTTTGAAATTTGAAATGCTTGGAGAACTGCTTGAATTACCTACTTATAACCAAATAAATCTTGAAGCCAGCCCAAATATACATCTAGGAACAGAGGAAGAACAATGTCAAGGATTGGATTTAAATGGGAGATAAAAATAAAATTACTTGCTGGTTCCAAAATGGCAGCATGAAGCAAGTTGTCTTCTGACCCCCTGACAAAAGAAAACAGAAACAAAAACAAATATACAGCACCAAGATCTTCACCAGCAACAATCAGAGCTCAAGTGTGAGGATGAGCCAGTTCCTGGGGAACTGGAGAAACTCTGTGGAGAAACTCTGAGCAGACAGTAGAAGATCCAGACTTCCATATCTGTGAAGCACCCTCACCCATTCTGCCAGGCAACAACCATGTG